GACACGTCATGTTCTGTTTTAGTTTTCACACCCGGTCTAATAAATTGGAGTTCTTTAATCAATCTTTTTTGGGCACACAGGTTGGAGCCATTGTAAGCGAACGGCGATCGCCTCGGTCGTAGCTAGGATCCGAACTCGGGCTGCCCTCGATCGATTGAGTGGGATGCGATAAACAACATCGGTGAATGTAAACGTTGGTATTCCGGTCGCAAATCTAAAGAAACTGTTACTACACTGCACACGAAACGTCTAGTTTCTATTTAACGGTATTATATATCGTCAAATGGAGGGGGTCGCCATGGGATCTTCACGCGGTCCTGTAGCTAGTCGACATCTTCGTGGCCAAACTAGAACTATTGAAGGATTAGCACACTACAATAGATACATGAATAACATATTCCGTGTGACTAATAATGGCATCCTACAGACATTGAAATCGTTTAACGAAGCACATCCATCACTGACATTCACTGTCGAGGTTGAAATGAACAATATATTGGGCTTCTTTTGATGTAGCCTTGTCCATGAAAGAAGATGGATCAGTGAGAAGGCAGATCCACAGAAAAAATACATGGAATGGTCAATATACCAAATTCCATAGTTTCGTTCGTCCGGTGTCTAGCCTTCAGAACCCGGAAGATTTATTCAACAGACGCATTGAATGAAGAACTAGGCTTCATCCGCCAACCGCTGCAGGACAATGGTTATCCGAAAAAGTCCATCGATACGAATATCCGGCTCACTCTGGAGAAGGAAAACCCCATCTGTCACCAAGAAAGAACTATTCATAAGGATCCCATTCAATGAGGGCTCACACACAGAAGGCCTTGTCCAGTCACTGAGAACGGCTGTAAATTCCACTTTCCCCGCAATCAGACTTAGACCAGTGTTCTTTACATCACCGGTTATGCTACTGACAGGCACTGACCTCTTCCATGACCATTTACTCTTTTAACTGCGTCTGTGGCGTATGCTATATAGGTCGTACGGTAATGCGTTTGTCTCAACGCGTTAAGCAGAACCGCCAGCGATGGATAAGTCAGGGAGAAAGTGGCTGCATCTCAAGCGCGATCGTGGGTCATCTCGTCGACATCCGGCATGAGATTGAACCGGAGAACGCTTTCGATCTTGTTTATCACATCCCACTCAATCGATCGAGTGTGGCCCGAGTTTGGATCCTGACTATAGCCGCCTCGGCCATATGGCGATCGCCATTCGCTTACAATGGCCCCAACCGGTATCCAAAAAAGACTGGTGCAAGCGCTGCAATTGCCTTGGCCGGATGTGAGAACCAACTTTTTATTTTACAGCAGCTGGCTCCTTGGAAAGGATAAGCCGGCTCCAGACATGATCATGAATTTCCTTGGGAGTTTGATACGAGGGACTTCCCCAGCATTACTCAAGGAAAACCAAGACAGAACATAACATTTCATTTGATTCAAGTGGGGGAAGGGTACATCGAATAACACGCTAATCATTCTTATACATACACACACATGCATAAAAAAAACACGCACACGTACACATCCTCTAGATCTCCGAATGTGTCGACACATCTTATCGAATGATAGTCATGTTCTGACCCGTTCCGTCATCTAACGTGGGATAATCAATTTAGTACTGTCGTACTGTAGTGTTTGATTTGACCACTTTTTTATCTTGCACTGCTTGCGGACGTCGACGTCGTTGTGAAATGGTTAAACCAAAGGAAATTCCGTCGATTGCTTTAACATTGGTTCCTTCGTGACATTTTTGTTAGAGAGAAGATTGAACTTCCCATTACTTGTGTGACTTATCCAATCAGACTGATCAATGTTGTTTTCGGAAATGTTTGCAATCTATTTTATATCCACTTCTGTTTATAATTTAGTGTTAATAAGAATCCTTCGTAAAGAATTTATCGGTTTTTGAATGCTTTTGATCCTGTGAGGCAGTTTCGCAGTTCTACATATCATGTGAGATATTCTCTTCAGACAATCCAGTTACCGATCATCTGCTATCGTTCTTCATTGTGTCCAGTTAACGTGTTTCTCCAAACCCATAATCTGGGCTTGGGTTTGTTCCCGACCCAGAAAGCTAGTCAAATCTTGCTCTTGGAGATGTCTCGTATTCTTGCGAGGAGGGGAGGGGAGGACGGGGAATGGGACCACGAAAGCAAACTTTCACATCCCCAAGTGAACGGAAATGTTTGTAGCTTTATTCGCCATAGACATTGGTTTGTGAGGGTCGACACAGCACGTAATCACCGTTTCGTCCTTTTTCGGTTGGTGCGCTTTTCAGCAGTGCGTACAATATTTGTCCATGTCGTCTATCTGTAGCCGCAACTGTTACCCCAGGGCTGAATTGTCAAAAGCCAACATCCTAAGCACATGGATATCTTTTATTTAACCATCTTATGTTTCAATGGACTCACTCAGTATTTTACGGGCACTAGGCTCCCCGTGTTGAGGTTTTCCATTAAAGGTTTTAGTGTTTAAGCGTTTATTTTTAAAAGAAACCATTTGTCTTTAGTGGAATACAATCAATTCGTCCTCTTCTAAGACGTCATCTTAATTAAATGAATTTGATTAGCAAATTTTCGGTCAAGGCTTATCATGAAGTCCCCCGAAAAACTCGTGGTCCGGTATTTGTTTTCCCCGGAGACGGTCAACTTCGTTTGTAATCCCGTTCTGTTTTTTTTTACCTGGATTTCCCATTTGTACTGCTTCCCGGATCTCACTCTCATCACTTACGGTTTATTTCTACTAGATTTCACAAATTCATTGAACACCGACTCCAATACATCGGGCAAGGTCAAACTGAATGGGACGAATTTGTCGACCTAATCCTGAAAGCCTACAACGTGCATCTCAGCATGCCCGCGTCCGATTACGGTTTGCACTGGAATAATCTACTCACTCGAATTCGTCGTCATCACAAGTGCAGCGCGTCACTGTGGCAACGCATTCTGGCTGGGATTCAAACCGCAGACCTGAAACGTTCCGGTTGACGATCTCCCTTTGGTGTTGCACAACCGTCAAACCATTGAAATAGTCCATGTTGACGCGCGCGCGTGCTCGTGTGTGTATGATGTCCATTTGTTTATTAGCCTTCATCCTCCCGGGCATCCATTCTCGCCCACCCGCCCATCACTCATCTTCTCTCTGTTTGACACGCGTGATTGTTGTTGTAAATGTTTCTCTGTCTTGTGGTTCATCTTGTGAAAACGTGGCACGCTCAACGTTGTATTCTTGCCTATTCTCAGTCCTTTCTCTCGCCCTCTCATTGTCCGTCCAACTGACGTCATCATCATTATCATTAGGGGCTGTTCACTTTTGCCCCACTGTCCATCTATTGTCTCCGTTATCATGTTGAAAACGTCTGTCCAATGCCCCTCTCTGTGCTGCATTCCCAATCCCGTCACACTTTTTATCTTCTATCTCTCTGCCATTCTGCTTGACGCGACCACAAACACTTATCTGTTCCCAATTTATTCCCAATGGTTGCTATGTGGATGATCGTGGTGGCCATTTTTGTTCCCACCGTTTATCTTTTCCCGTTCTCAGTCTTTTGTTGCAATCAATTCTCTCTAGTTTACTTTATTCTCAACCGCGTCTCCTCCGAAGGACATGGTTTTGTCTGTAACTCCTCATTTTCCACTAGCGTTTATTCATTCCCGTCCAGTGGTTGGTATTGTCTCGAAACTCTGGGTTGCATGGTCATCTTGGTCCTGTGACATAATTCATCTCGTGCTCACTCACTCACTCGCTCCATCTGTTTTTCAATCTCCTGTTTGTTGGACTATACCTCTTTTCTCTCTGTTTCTCTATTTCACTTATTGTCTCCTACCTTGGTAATAGACTACTGGTTATCATCGGTTGATACATCATCATATTCAGTACCATCATTACTACTATTACGACGACAACTACTACTAATACCAAAAAAACTGTCAATTATACCTGTACACCACCATACTTCTTACGATTAATATTACCACCTATTTTAGTGCTATTCCTTTTTTCTTTCTCCTCCTCCGACTATTTTTACGCTCATTTCTGCCGACTGTGACAGGTTGTTTCGTTTCTTTCAGCACTCTTACTACTACTATTACTACTTCAAATACCATCACCGCTGCTACTGGTTTTTCTTTCTTTCCATAACAGAAATTCTAATTAAGCCATTCTGTTCTTGTCTCAATTGTCAACTGTGGGTCGGGTTTGCTGTTGGCGTCATTGAAATCGATAGTGGATGGGAATAGGAATCAAATACAACCCTACTTGCAGAACAAAAGCCAGGGAACAACCGGTACGATTGAAAATAGCGTGTGTAGAATCATAGTGACCTACCGATTCACAGATGAGACCGATGGTTTATGCTTGGTCCCTATTCACGAACACGTTGTGTCACTTTGCACACGTCCTTTCGGTGTTCGGCCTTGCAACCTGTGTCAATGTACCTTACGCCTAACTGACTGAATAGCCCCAAGAGGCGTTTCTTAATAAGTGAGTTGCCAATGGTTACCAACTTCACCGACGCGGCATTTTATTTGAATTCGAAAATCAGTGGACAGGTGAACAGACGACCTTTTAGTTGATAGTGTGTGTGTAAATGGGCATTGCTCTGCAGACAAAGCGCCCTCGAAGATATCTGTGGGCCGTATCTTGGCTTTCCCTTTGTTCTCTGGCAAATAATGAAAAGCCACGTGACGCGTGCGAATTCTTCTCACCACCGGCTACAGGGATCATCCTGTTATATCGCATGAGTAGCATTTCGATATGCGAGAATTCGTAGTACAGCTTTTGAATGCTGTTTGGCGCAATATTCCTAAAACTCTGCATCGATGAAGCCAACTCATCCGCATGATCGAGGAATTTCCCAACGAGTAAAGGTAAATAATTCACACGGCAGATGCGGTTTGGGTAGTTCACTTGCGTTTTGTTTCTAAGCTCTCGTTGTCAAATAATGCCTAGAAATTGACTCAGTGCAGTTATTCTCTTGCTATGTCACACCTATGAGAAGTTTCATTCTCTCAATTTTCGCTCAAACCGAAACCAACGGTATACGGATTGACGTACGTCCTGATGCTGCAATATCGTTCCTCACTATGTGTCCCAGTTCCTTATATTCAATTGGTCGCTGACCGATGTACGGGCTGACCATTTACCAACCACCGTGCAATGTTGTATTCAACCAGTGAATTTTCATTTAGTGCGTGACGCGCACACGACTCTGTTCACTGATTGAATAACTCCAGTGCAAAAGGCACACAGTAGTCAGCATTCCAGGATGATGTCATTGAACATACAAAACAGTTGGGATTTCTCCGCACCGACATGTACGTACTGAGTTCAAACCCACATTGAATCAGGTGGTAATCCAATCATCAGAGGTTAAATGCTGTCTGGTCGAAGATTTCACGCATTACTTATCCGTTAATGAGTATATTCTTGAAGAAATCTGTTGATAAATAAATGCCTTATTCCAGACGTTTGGATCAATTCCCAGTTATCCAAGCGTCTCCAATAGCCTCTGCTGAGGAAGCCCTACTCATTGCCTTCTCGTAGCAGTGTTCCCCACCAAAGTGAGAGGACGAAAAGCCGACATCCGGGACTATAACGGGGTTGGTGGACCACTGGTGATTTACCTAGGGGAGTTGGCCAAAAACCCTGATTCCAAACCAACCAAGAGGAGGCCTACGAACCATACCCACAGCTTTTCGGTTGTGGCAATGGTCACCGGCTCGATGGGGCATTGAGGTGTATTGGGCATCTTGGAAGTTTGACCCCGTCTGAAGGGCGTAGGATCCGATAAACTGGACACCGGCTNNNNGCTTCCAATGGACTACGGTTTTCACACGCCGCCCCGTTGCTTTGCGGGTCAGGCTTTGGCCAGCCGAAGGCTCCGGTTGAGAATTCCTTAAGAAAATTCGCCTGCTTTGGCCTGGGCAACGTCACAATACTCAGCCCATATGCAAGTCATCGAACGATTTTCCTTTTTTATAAAGATTATTGTACTATGATTTGTTCGGCACACAGTCTGTCCTCAGACAAGTGTGAACTATTATATATATATATATATATATATATATATAT